TTGGAGACTGGGCGATAATTTGCCAACTCATCTGGGTCCAGGGACGGCTTCTTGAGGAGGGGCCTCACAACGGCCTCTTTAAGGGCCGCCGGAAAGACACCCTCCTGCAAAGAAGCGCTAACAATTCCCTGGAGCCAGGCTCGTGTACCCTCCCGAGCTGCCAGTACCAGCCAGGAGGGACACGGATCCAACAAACATGAGGGCAAGGAGATAGAGGAGCGGTGTCTCGGTTCCTAAGACCCTCGGAAATATGTGTTTTCCGATGGTCTTAGGCGACCCCTGTGAAAGGGTTGTTCGACCCCCAAAGGGGTCCCGACCCACAGGTTGAGAACCACTGGGCTATAGAAACCCTTGTATTACTCAGTTGATGTTCATTAAGCCTCATCTCACTAAGTTATTAGTCTTAATACAGTTAATACTTATTAAGTCAGAACTGGACCATTTTCAAATGGACTTTATTGCCAAGGTGGTCAGCCTGATTCTTTTTTTCACATGTTCTAGGTAGTTTCTTGGAGTATTGAGACAAGTCTTGATTCTGGTTCAAGTCTTAAGCCAGAATCAAGTTCATTGATGCAGATAGCTAAGTAGAATTTTTCTCTGAGGAGTTGGCCCATACTTAGACTATGTAAATACTTACATGTAAATACTTACTTACTTACTTCGACTTCCGGTTCCGGATCACGGCGCAGGCGGTCGTGTAGAGAGAGTTGTCTCTTCGCTGGCCGGTTTCCATTCGCTGGTAGACCTTCAATAGGGTCGAAAAGTCGCCCTGGAGGGGCGACTACCATTGAGGAGGCCCCTTGTCTGACTGCAGAAGAGCGGCAGCTCCTTCCGCGGTCTGAGCCAGCTCCTTAGGGCAGACGGAGAAAAGATCGGCCAGTAACATGACCGATCACTTAGCCACACCAGCCAAAAGTCAGAAGAACAGCTAAGCGTAAAGAACCACCATGGAGGATCCAGGTGAGACCTTTCCTTCCCTTTCTTTCCGTAACTATTTTCCTGTAAAAAGCCAACTTCCCTGCTTTAAGAGAGCGGCGTCTGTTTACTTGGGAAAAAGAGCTCTGGAAACAAAAGAATAAAATAGCTAACTTTTAATGACTATTTAATTTTTTGGATACCTTGGGGTCCTGAAAATATTCCTATTATAGAACATTATTACTATTTTACTTATTATGCTGGAGATATTTGTTTCTTTTTTCTTTTCTATTTTCCTAATGAGATAAAATTTTATTAATTTGGAAAAAAGATCTTACATTCTACTGAGGATATCGTGTGGCGAAAATTGTTACTGCAACTGTATTTCCTTTTGGTGTTTGAAGATGGATTTGACCTTCAAATGTTAATAAAAGGGAAAAGATAAAGGACTTGAAACGGCTGGGTGGTGAACCTGTTTACTAGAAATTGTGGAGGTGGATATTTGTTGACTTTTAGTAAATATAGCTTCCACTAAAAGATTAAAAGACTATTTCACCACTGAAATGGAGGAATTTTACCCACAGCTTGATTATGAGCTTATATTGGAAAAAATTCTGGAAGCTACGGAGCACATGAAATCTTGGAGAAATATTAAAGATGATGTTTCAGAACCACAAATTGAATCTCAAACCTTAATGGATCAATCTATAGGCCAAGGAACAATAGAGGAGGAACTGATTAGCTCCAAAGAGGCCTGAATGCAACAATATACATAACTTAAAGAGATGGAGGAACCATCCCACAACTCAACTATAAATCTACACTGGAAAAAAATGTGGAAGCCACTGAGCAAATGAATTTTAGAAAAACTCTTGCCTCAAAACCCCAAACTGATTTTCAGATCCCAATTGATTACGCCATAAGTAAAAAAAAAAAACAGAAAAGGAATCAATTAACGTAGAAGAGGATATTAAACAGCCCTACGTACAATTCATGGAGAATCCTGATGACCAAATAATGACTTTAATTGAGATACCTGCAGTCTTAAAAGCAACAGGAACTGACTTCCAGACACGAGTTACTGAAAACTGTGATAATCAACTAGTAACCACAACATGGAATAAAACTGGTTACACCACTCAGATGATACTGGAAGAAGGGGAAGAGAACTTTGACCAAACTGAAGGGTTGATAAATACCCCTACTCAAATACTGAGATTCGATGATACAGAAGCTTTGTTATGGAAACCCGTCTGGCACAGAAAGAAAGCCAGAGTTAGATTTAAAAATGCGACTTAAAATTTCACTTAATGGGTAAAAAAGGCTTTAGAGATCTGGACTGATTTAATAATTAACTGAGTATGCAAATTTAGTAAGAAGATATTTCTTGTAATAATATGTTTGTCTTAGATAGGATAACTATTTGGATGGGATCTAAATCTTACCTAATAGGTTAAAAAGATTTTTTATAGATATAGATTGATTGATAGAATATATATCTAAAATAGAGTAGAAATGTATATTTTTGAATAATATTTTTTTTTGATAGGATACTTTTTTGAATAATAGTTTTTTATAGGATAACTATTTTGTAATGGAAGGAGAATAAGAGGGATTTGTGACAAGAGAAGAAATTGTATTAATAAATAACTTATTAGATTAAGAAATAGAATATATGTGGAAAATACAAGAATGTTACTGTTGGAATAATATGTGCATTTTAGATATAACTATTATGTTAGGAAAAAAGGGAAATGAGGGACACCCGAAGTGTTAATAATATGTTTATTTAAGGCTAAATTGGAATATGGTAATTGTAAATTATATATATATATTTATAGATGAAATGTTATTGATGATTGTTTTGATTGATTGAATTTTATTTAGAAACGTATTAATTTGAATATGTTATATTATTCGAGGGAAATAGAGAGGGAACTTTTAATGAATTAACCTGAGTTATATATGTATGATTCTGTTTTTGGATGATTGATTACCCCATCACCACGTTGTTTTTTAAGCACTTTGATGTAAAAATTAAAAAACCAATAAAACTTGCTTTTAAAAAAAATACTTACTTACTTCGACCCAGAGCAACTTCATCCAAAATTTCTGTTTTATAAAGCAAAGTTAAACAGACACTTTTCTTTAAAGCCACAAGAGAAGGCTTTTAAACTTTGCTGACTGTCCTTCCTTACATCTAGAATCCCCATTTGAAGAATGATGTAGGAAGGAAAGAGATATATTTATCAGGGTAACCTGGTTCACAGTTTAGCTATATATATTTTTTTACTGAGCTACATTTGGGTGAATTCACCCAAAACCATATACAATTCAATCCTGTGCTTAACTGAGGAATGTCACTTGATTCTAAATTAGCTTCATTCTCCATGGGATAATGTATCATCCTGGAAAGTATGTTACTACTAAGATATTCCTAGGTCATCTAGTGCTACTGATCTTATTTTGCAGGTCAGTATTTATTTACCTGTGCTGAAAACCATGAAAAGTGTTGTGGAGAGAATGAAAAATCTCAGCAGTTCTGTTGTAAGTTACAGTATGTTTAATTGTAAAGGCATATTTTGAAAGAGACCTAAATATAATTGAGTTGCATTTCTACTTAATTATAGCAGAATTTTGGACATACAATTTTAAAATGGTGTTTATATAATCAGTAATTTATAAATCACTTTCTCAAAATGAATTACAGATAAAGCAAATCCATTCCAAGTTAGACCATGGTGGGAATAGTAAATTATTAATCTTTTTGTTTTCTCTCCTTTAAGTTATGACACAGGCTGATTTGGCACATAATGTAAATCAGGATTTGGTTTCCCAGCTTGTTCAGTCTTGCAAATAAGCAAAGACATTAAGTCTTGTTTGGCTGATATCTGATAATAATCTGACATGCAAACTTACACATTTAATATTGAATGCTTGCCAATGCAGTACTTAAAATTTATTTGGGGAAAGGGACTTCAGTGTTTTGTAGGCATAAATATAGCACATGCTAGCAACATCTTTAAACCAGTTGTATCTTTATCATGCTGCAGAGGGCAGCCCTGCAATTCTAGGAAAGATGTTGTTTCATTAAAAGATGGTATATTAGAGCCTTTTGCATACTGAAGCACCTTTTAATTTTAAGTGTTGCGTAGCATCAACATACAAATATATAGAGAGACCCACCAGTCCTAAACAATTGTGAAGAAAGGACAGTGAGATTTGCTATTTTTCACAAATTTTTGAACTCATATCACACCTCTATGATAATTGTCATATTGGCTAAGATGATAGTATTTCAAAATGATTTCTGGAGAGTCAGATTTCACATTATACTTTTGGATTAGCAACCAAATTGTGAAATGCTAAGAATTTTGGGTGTTCTCCATCTAAGATTGGCTGACATAATCAGCATGGTACATCTTAAAAACATTTATTGGAAGGCTCATTAGACAGTTTATCTCACCTTTATTCTCAGTTCTTTTTTTACATTAATTTTTTTTGTACTTAAAATATTTATCAGCAACATATTGTCTAGGTTTCAATGTCTAATTTACTAATACATATTATGTTCCTTTCTCTCTACCTCGTTTATCTAGCCAATTATAAAAAGTATTCCATGTTCTAAAATAAACTGAATTTTCTTTTTCTTTCATTATCAATGCCAATCTATCCATTTCTGCACACTCTTAAGATTTTTTTAATTAATACTTCCTCTGCTGGTAATTCTTCATTTTTCCAATATTGAGTGCCTGAAGGCAGGACAAGAAGCAACAGGTGGAAACTAACCAAAGAGAGAAGCAACCTAGAACTAAAGAGAAACTTCCTGACAGTTAGAACAATTAACCAGTGGAACAACCTGCCTCCAGAAGCGGTGAATGCGCCAACACTGGAAGTTTTTAAGAAGAAACTGGACAGCCATTTGTCCGAAATGGTATAGGGTTTCCTGCCTGAGCAGGAGGTTGGATTAGATGACCTCCGAGGTCCCTTCCAACTTTATCATTATTATTAAATACAATTCTTGCTGCAGTTAATATATGTAAAATTAAGTAAATACACTCTTTCTCATAATTACCTACAATTATACCTAGCAAAAATAATTCTGGCTTCAACTATGTAGTGCTGATACTTTGTTTCTCGAATAAAAGGTTCTTTAAGGTAAACAATGCCTCGAAGTTCTTTTGAAGAGTTTCATCTGTCGGAACCATGACATTAAGCCAAAAACTGAATTCTCCTCCCCTGGGAACAAAGTAGCAAAGCACAATTCCCTCCTTCAATTAACAGTCATAAATCACATTCCCCGATTAGCTTGAAGCACGGGCTTTCTCCCCAGCTCTCCAGCCTGCCAAATCTTTTATCAACTCTGGGCACAATAACCTTGGATTCCCATGGCTGAGTTATTATTGTTATGACTAGCTGGACTCTCATTCACATCCCCCCTCCCAGCATCAACTAACTCTAAAAGAGAAAGAGAAAAGATGGCTACATTTCCATCTGTTGTCAAAGCAACAACATCTGATGTTAGCAGCGTTGACACTCTATATGTTTTTTTGTCATTTTCTCTAATCATGTATGTATTCTTAACCAAAATCTTTTAGCTTTAGAGGATGTCCACCAAAGATGGTAATAAGTGCCTTTTTTTGTTTACATTTCTAACATATTTTCATATCTTGTTTGGATTTGCAAATATGGCCACCATGATAGGTCTATACCCTGTTCTTCTAGTTCTTGTCTATGTTTTAATTTTCCTTCTTTATTGAAAATGTCTTTATAAGTCACAATTTTGTCATAGTTTATTAAGTTTGGGTGAACAAATGCTTCCATTGTTGAAAGCCATCCAGGTATTTTCATATAGATATTTGCTTTCATTTTTTCCCATTCTAGCAGAAGTGCGTTTTTAATGTAATGATGTTGAAAGTATCTGTGAATTTTATTTTTCCCTTACCATAAAAGGGCATGCCATCCAAGTTGTACGTCATGTCCCTCTAGGTATAATAATCTTCTATCTTTAAGGGTTATCCACTCTTTTAGCCATTTTAAAACGGCTGCTTGGTAATATAAACTCCAGTTTGGCAATCCAAATCCTCCATTTTCTTTTGCCTCTTGAAGCATTTTCAGTTTTATTCTAGATTTTTTTCCTTGCCAAATAAATTTCAATATTGATATGTTCAGTTCGTCAATGAAGTTTTTCCCCACTTTTATAGGTATGGCTTGAAACAAAAAAAGTATTTTTGGTAAAATATTCATCTTCACTGTTGCTATTCTCCCCAGCATTGAAAGTTGTATATTTTTCCATTTTTTCAAATCTAGTTTTATTTGTTTTAATAGTTTTACATAGTTATCTTCTTTTATTGTTGCACATCTTGCTGTTAGGTAGATTCCCAGGTATTTAACTTTTTTGACTATTTGAAGACCTGTTTTTTCTGATAACTTTTTTTTTCTGTAAGAGTTTTAGTTAACACTTTGGTCTTTTCTCTTTTTATTTTCAGACCTGCCACTTCTCCAAATTCTTCTATCTTTTTCATAAACTTAAGGCTTGTCTCAAGGGGTTCTTTTAGTATAGAAACTAAATCATCTGCAAATGCTTGTAATTTGTATTTTTCATTTTTTATTTCCAGTCCTTTAATTTCCATATCTTGTCTAATATTTCTATTTAATATCTCCAGTGTTAATATGAATAGCAATGGAGATAGTGAACATCCTTTTCTTGTGTCTTTTTTAATATTGAAATTTTCTGTAAAATCTCCATTTACAGTTACTTTTGCTGTTTGTCTAGAATAAATTGTTTTAATTATATTTATAAAGTTTTTTCCAAAATCCATTTCATCTAGTTGTTGAAACATAAATTGCCAATTTACGTTGTCAAAGGCCTTCTGTGTGTCTAGAAATATTAATGCCATCTGTTTTCCCAGGTGAAGTTCATAATATTCCAAAATGTCTATTAAGTTATTTTTATTTGCCTTTTAGGTAGAAATCCATTTTGATCTGTATGTATAAATTCAATCAAAAAATTCTTTAGTCTTTCTGCTATTATTGAAGCAAAAAAATTATAGTCCATGTTTAATAAAGATATTGGTCTATAATTCTTTATCTGCATCAAGTCTGAGTCTTCTTTAGGTATTAAAGTAATGTTAGCTTTTGTCCATGTATTTGATATTTTAGCCTCTAAAAGTACTCCATTACCTAGTTCTTTCATTATAGGACTTAAAATATCTTGTAGAGATTTGTAAAACTCTGCAGGTAATCCATCTAGGCCTGGAGTCTTATCATTTTTTTGTCTTTTGATAGCCTCTGTCAGCTCTATCATTGATATTTTCTCATTTAAAATATTTTTTATATTCTCTGGATTTTTTGGTAAATCTGCTTTTTTAATATAGTGCTTTATTTTCTCTTGTGAAGTTTCCTCTGTATTATAAAGTATCTTGTAAAAGTCTTTGATTATTTTTTTAATTGCATCGTTTTGAAACTGTAAGTCTCCTTTTGAATCTGGTAGTTTATCACTTTTTTTTCTTTTTCTTTTTTCAGTTTATATGCTAGCCACCTCCCTGGTTTATTAGTATTTTCAAAAAAAATTTGTTTAGCTCTTTTAATTTGTTGCACCATTTTTTCGGCCTCTACTAAGTTTATTTTATGTTTTATTAGTTCCATTTGTTTTTTTTTAAGTATTTTCTTTTGTGGGTCTGCTTGTAGTTCTGATTCTAATTTCTTAAATTCTTCCTGTAGTTTTAACTGTCGTTGTTTTTTTTCTTTATTTTTTTTGCCATGTAAGTTATAGCCAAACCTCTAAAGTATGCTTTAGCTGTGTCCCACACATTTTGAAGGGAGGTTTTTTATTTTTAATTTATTTTTAAAAAGAATTCCATTTCCTTTGTTGCTATTGGTATAAATTCTTTCTCCTTTAGTAAAGGTTTATTCATAGACCATCTTAGTATTTTCTAAGTTCCTTTCCAAGTCATCTTTATTGGATTATGATCTGCCCATATATTAGGTTCTATCTCGATCTCTTATATAACCGTGCTTAGTTCAGGAGATATCCATATCATATCAATTCTGGACCATGATTTGTATCTATTTGAATAAAAGATATATTGTAGTTTTTTTGGATTCTTTTCTCTCCATATATCCTGAATGCAAATTTCTTCTGCCATTTTAAAAAAGTTTTAGGGAGTATATTTCCCCCTTTTCCCCTATTTTACTACTTTTATAGTCCAGTGTTCCATCTACTATCGCATTAAAATCTCCCATTAAACAGATATTTTGGTACTCCAATTCTACTATTTTTAATGCAATTTTTGATAGAACTCTTCTTGTTTGTTATTAGGTGCATATACTGCTATTATCAATACCTGGTTTTGGTTTATCATTATTTCCACCATCAAATACTCTTCCCTCTTCATCTACATAGATTTGTTTAGGATTCATTATTTCTTTAATATATAGAGCTATTCCTTTTTTCATTTGTTGGGCTAATGCATAATGTAGTTTCCCAATTTTTGGTTGCTCCAACAGTTTGTAGTGTTGTTTCTTAATATGTGTTTCTTGGAGAC